TGCTGAGCAATGTGGCTTAGATGAATTTGGGCTCTTTAGCAAATTGGCTTTCTGGTTCTCATTACCCCCATCTATGGGATTACGGCACTATCAAATGGAATTAAAATGCATGGGCTGTTGTTTCCAGCAGCACAAAGCTGAAGTCAGTGGCAAAGAAGGAGAAGGCAGTCATCTGACATGAGTAGGGCTACGTTACACCTGTCACCTCTGGACTTCAGGTTTTTGTCTTAGAAACAACCAGCTTTCAGCACTGTCAGGGAAAGTACGCGTTTCATTATGTTAAGCAAGGGTAGAAACAATTAGCTCAAATACTTTATTAATAGAAACAAATACTGAGAGAAAAGGCTGAAAAGAAAGTCTGCATTAGGAGCAGGCTGCTTAGAATTCAAGGTCAAACCCAGATCGGATCTGAGTGCATGATTAAAAAATCAGCAATAAAAAAATGTTTGATAGCATTCATACCAGAGACTTAGCTGCTATTCTGGAAACTTCACTGCTCAAGTGCCAGAAATGCCACTCTGAGCCAGGATCTGCAAATCTTTTCTTGCTGGAGAACTGCAAGAGCTAAAGACAAGCCTCTTTCCAGTCTTGTTGTAACCGTAAAAGTAATCTGTTGGAACAGGTTCACAGAGGGCAAATTCAAACTCATTTAAAATGCAAAGGCTCTGAAACATGAGGAAAAGGGGATTCAAGGCTCAATTTTTTTCTGGGTGTTCCAAGTCCTTTTTAAAAACAACACCATTGACTTTAAATGGCACTAGGATGGGGATTCTGCTGAGCTCCCAGTCTGTAACAGCCTCTTTCTTAAATGCACCTTGAGAGAATGACAGGAGAGTCTGCAAGGATTTAAAAAATATGGTTGATATTTTAACTGAGACTTGCAAATCACTGAAGTAAAAAAAATGCAGTAAAAAGCAGCCCAAAATCCAATCTTTTCTCATCTAAATAAACGGAACCAGAAATTAAGAGAAAACTATTATTTAATTCAGTAGTTACAACCTAGCAGTTGGGTTAGGTTTTTACAAAATTACAGTCCATACCATAGACAGAAGCTAAACTTGCCTTCTACAGCCTCATTTTATGCATCCCTAGGACTTTGCCAGCTATCTTATAACAATTTCCTCCAAAAGCTTATTTTTAAGACAATTGTCAGAGAACAATACACATTACCGAACACCAACCAGGAATCCTACTCATTCATTTCTGGCACAAAGAAAATGACAAGGCTTATGCCTGGGGATGAACAGTTTGGGACAAAGGTTGCATTTGGATTTGGTTAGCTTTTCTTTAATTATCAAGAGAAGATTTTAAATGGTTGCTGAGACACTGCCAGGTCTCCAGAGTAACCACCTTGGCCCATTTATTTCAAATAAAGAAGTATCCTACATCCAAGCTAAGCTGCCCTTCATAAGAGCCATGGTCCCTGACCAGGTTTGCATCACTCACCTGTAATTTCATTTCCCTTTCCCTGCTGTGTGGCTGCCCAGATGATGAGAACAGAAACAAGAATGATCTTGGCTGTTTTATTTCCCATCCTGGATAAGCCCCCCATATTGCTTTGCTTCCAAGGCTGTAGAACTTGATCGTCCTCACATGCAGGGTTTTGGATTAGGGGGAAAAGTGCTCTGCTTTTTTACCTTCTGCAGGTGATAACTACTGGCAACAGAAACAAAGAGGCTCTGGTGGGAATTTTGCCAGTTCTCTCGCCTTCATGCTCTCCCCGGGGAACCTGCTTCTTCTACCTGTTCAGCTTGGCCCCACCCCTCCACCTCATTTTGAGAAAAAGGCATTTAAAAATTGCTGGTTTAGTCCATGTTTATCCTTCTGAGCACTTACTCCCTTTCACACCTGGAACACTTGACAGATAGGAGCCAGATTTAGATACCTCAAATGTCAGGTATATGCATCTTGAATTTCCTTTCCTTCCACACATCAGGTGATACTTTTTTCAGCCTTTGTTTTATACTTTGAAAACAAACTAAGAGTAAAATCAAATGTCTATGTCAATTTTATTTTTTTTTCCCCTGAATTTAAGCTGTTTCATAAGCTGCTCTCTCACGTAAACCAGAGCAATGCTAGGGAAACAAGAACCTTATTAGGCAGGGCATGACTCAGGAGATTTGAGAGACCAAAATCCCTTCCTTTTCATTGTGTAAATCATGAAGCTGTGTACCCAAGATAGATGTGCCTGCAGTTTCACAATGCAAGACAATAAATTCAGTTCAACATCACTTGGCTCATGCAAAGGAAAGGAAAAAACACAATATGGTATTTTATGAGCAGCTGACAGTGAATTACGGAAAATTACAGGTATGGTTCTTGGAGCTGAGGCAGTATGTTCAGACCAGCACTTAAATACATACTATAGCATTGTAGACAATTTCATGTGGATGAAAGAGCCAGACATAACAGAGCTGGAACCACAGAACTCTCTTAATTGTCGAGGCACTTGTGAGCTGTTTTTTTTCTGGCTTGGAAGATAAAACACAAAGTTCATCAAGAAAAAAAAAGAAATTTTAAAAAATAATAAAATTAAGGTTTTCCCAAACTTCAACTAAAATAAGAAAATGGGTAGAGCAGAACATAAAAACATACAAAAAAACCCCCCTAAACCAACAAACCAACCAACCACAAAAAAAAAAAACAAACCAGAAAAAAACCCCACAAAAACAAAACAACACCAACCAAAAGATATTTAAGTTTTGAAGCATAACTGCTCTGCCTAAGGACAATGTGTACCTTAACATCTGTCTTCTGCATCCAACAGGATGTATGGTCAGGCTCCTCCAGGTGCACCATCTACATCTCCTGTCAGCACAGAGAGGCAACAGGGAGATCCTGGCTGTAGGCTGCACAGGGCCTGCAATCTGACTCAAAAACCCCATTAATAGGAAAAAGAGGACTTGAGTCAGTGAAGCTCTATCTGCAAATAGTAATATTTCTTCTTGGCCTTTTACATTATTTTTTTTCAGACAAACTACCCTAATTTTATAGGGGAAAGAAAAAAAAAGTATTGATTAAAATTTTTTCAGCTAGTGCTAACAAAAAAGATCTATAGACCCTAAGAATTATTTGGCACCTTCTTCAAGAAATGTATGTCCTGGCCAAATTCAAATAGAGGTAATTCCAGACTGTCATCTGAATTGGATTACATCTTGCACTTACAATCCTAAATTGCTGGATAGGGTTGCCATATGTCTGAAACAGTTGCTGCTTTCCAGAGTTAGCTACAAGACACGTCATCCTCTTCACTGCTGAGGACTTCCATGCCTGAAGTATGAATTTCCAACTTGCAGTAAAGGACTAACATCCCTGTTCTAAAACACTTAACTATACATGCTCATCTTTGTGACTATTAAAAAAACCTGGATAAAACTTTGTGTATTTACATCTCAGTCTTATGGCTGGCAGCTGTAGCAGGTTTCTGTTCAGGGTCAGGCAACCAACAGTGAGTTGCAACTTTATTGCAGCAGTGGACAAAACAGTTCCTAAATGCAGGACATGAAGAACCCCATTTTCAAACAAGACTGTAAGTGAAGTTAGTGGGTATGTGTATTTCAGGACTTACCTTGTAACTTGCTAATTCTTTGAGGTTCCAATTCATATCTGCATTACTTGTTCTAGGCACAGAACAACTTACTTTCTAGCAATGTAGATACTAGAAGAGACCATTCAGGCAACTAAACATGCATCCTATGTCCTGTACAACAATTCTCACATCTTCTAGACAATTTCTTGCACTGCATAAACTGCAGTAAGTTTAGGATGATGCCCTGCATCCCAGACAGTAACATGTGCTCTTCTTATTACTGCAGTTGCTGTAATGAGTTGCATGTACACAACACAAGAAAATACAGAGTGTCCTGCACAGAAACTAGATGGATTCATTCATCAGTTTGCAAGACTGACCACTTGTGTATGCATGGCTGATTACATGTAATTCTATTTCTTTATTAACCATTGGTTTATTTCACAGATAATTTGTTGTGGTTTTCCCCTTGTTCCTTTCAACCAGGTGTTATTGTAGGACGCCAGCAGAAAACTCGCTCATTTTTGCTTTGGTGGTGAGAAAGGTCAACGGAGAGAGGAATGGAGGAGGAGATGGTTAGTGGAATAAAAGCCCTGGCTGGCTGTGTGGTGCTGGTAATGAGCTGGACTCCACTCTAGAAGGAGCTCATCACAGTCCTGGCCCAGTCATCTGGAGCTGATCAGCTATCCTTACTGTTGTTTATATTTTTCTGCAGTTACGTTTGTAATGCCTAAATTGATCTGAAGTATGCAATTTATACACAGAAGGGCTGTGCCAAGAAAAGCCATGTCAAAATACATTCATGGATAATTTTACAGGATGAAGAAGCAGATTTTGAGAGATGAGATTTGACTCTCCTTGACTGCAATTGGAATATTGTGCCTGACAGCAGGCTTTCTCATAATATTTTTTAGGCATTTATATCTTTAGATGGACTCACTTGTGATTAAATTAGGCACTTAGAAGATTCTGATCTTCTTTAGGCTAGGAGCTTGATACAGAAAGGAACATTTAGAACATTTCTTTTTCTTGGCATTATTTTGTCTATGAAATAATCGCTATTTCAGATGCCCAAAGTGGTTATAACATTTCAAGACAGAATGGTTTGCATGCAGGGAACAGGACTATGCATTTGGGCTCCATGGGAATGTAACAGAATGTTTGGGTTTGTTTTGGTGGGTTTTTTGGGTAGTGGGGGAAGGGCCCCAGGGGTGGCTCAGGTAAGAAGCCGAGAAGCTGCCCCTGCTCCAAACCCAGCCAAGGAGCCATTAGAGGGACAACAGATGCACCTCTGCCATTAACATACGAAAGATCTGAGATAAGAGCTGGCAGAGGAGCACTTAAAGAAGAGCTGTACTGGGGAAGGAGAGCAGAGCTGGTGGTTGGTGAGGAAGAAGGGGCAGAAGGTGCCCAAACAGAAGTTTCCCTGCAGCCCATGGCGAGATGGCAGCTGTGCCCCTGCACTCATGGAGGAACGTGGTGGAACATTCCCTCAAGGTGCCAGGAGGGCTGAACTTGGTCAGGGGACTTGGATTCAGTGGCCAGAGGATTTGCTGCCAGTGGACTCTGATTGCTCAGCTGTGGAAGCCCCCGGGCCAGGGGAGGTGGCTGTTCCCGAAGCCCCCGTGACTCTGTGGGAAGCCCAGGCTGGAGCAGCTCCGGACCTGGTGGGAAGGACTCAGGAAGGAGAGGTTCCTGGAGGCCTCTCTGCCATGGGAGGGACCCTGTGGGGAAGCAGGGCAGGACTGCAAGGAATCCTTCTTCCTGAGGAGGCAGGAGCAGCAGGAACCCCCAGCCTGTGAACTGACTCCAAACCCCATCCCCTGTCCCCCTGTGCCGCTGGGGGGAAGGAGGGAGAGAAACTGGGAACCAAGGGATTTGGGCCTGGGAAGAAGGGAGGGGTGGGGTAACATCTGCAAGCCTTGCTCTGTGTGTGTCTGTGTCCTGGGTGTGTTTGGTTAGTGTGAAATTAGATTATTATTTTTTCCCCAAGTTGAGTCTGTTTTGCCCGGGACCTTCATTGGTGAAGAGCCCTCCTTGGCCTTTGTCTCGAACCCGGAGTTTTTTCCTCCTCATCCCAGTGTGTGTGTGTGGGGGGAGCTGAGTGAGCAGCCGTGGGGCTGTTCTTTGTTGTCGTTTTGGGTTCAAACCATGACACAGATGCTGTTCTGTGCTCCAGAAGTCAGTACACTTTCCCATAGATGTACAGGACTTAAACTTAAGAGCCATTAAACCATTTAACTTGAGCTCTCAAAATCAGCTGTCAGTCAGTTTCTCCCAGATACCTCTTCCAGTGTCCCACCATTTCAATGTGATTACAGCCTGTCAGTCTGAGAAAGCCCGGACTGCAGCCACAGCAGACTGTGGGAAGGATGGGGGTGCCACCAGTCCTGAGGATCCCACAGTAGAAATAAACTGATCCAGGTCAGGAACGCAAAGGCAAAACCATGCTGCTAGACACCAATTAAGGTGAAAAGAAGTTCAGATGAGACCTGATTTCCATCTGATTTCTGCCCCACAATTGCATTCCCTGGTGTCTTTGACCCCCAGTGAATTTTGTCTCACCACCAGGGCAATCATAAAAATCGCCCCTGCTGTGACATTTCAGAAGTTTAGTAAGGATTGATGAGCTCAAACCAGCTTTTCCCTTAGTGGGGCACTGCTAAGGTTTCTCTCCTCCACTCCCTATCTTTGTGAAGCCTGAAGGAACTTACTAGCCTTTGAGCCTGTAAGTGGCTTAAATTGGTCACTGAGGCCAAAAGGTGTTAGGAGAGCAAGTTGGCTTAGCCAGAAGTGAACTTTTTTTTTTTGCAGCTAAAGACAAAACAAAATAAATCACTCCTACCATCAGGATACAAGCTTATTCCAGCTTTTGAAAATCAGTATGTATAATGTGTCTACTCCCTACAGAAGACTTAACTTCTCAGAAACTTTCACAATTCAGCCCTGAGTTAAAATGCTAGCCCACAATTTCAGGGACTTTTAATTCCCACCCCCTGCCACGC